GTATTCTACCTGGTTGTAGCCTAATTCCGCTTCATCTAAGTATCTCATTTTGGACCAAAAGCCTGGTGAGGTTTCCTTGGGCATGTTTTTCCTTATAGGGAGCGATGCATTGTTCTCCTTTGTAAGTTGTACTTTCTTGATTGCAGGTAGATTAATCTCTGCCTTTATCTGAAGGTTACGTGGTCGACGAGCCGCTGAATCGGGTTCTTGTGAGATGATTATTTTGGAAGGGCTCTTGCTCTTACTTTGGACGTCCACCTTAGTTTCCTTATGTAAGTCTTTCCCAGCCAGCTTGTTTCTTAGCGTTTCCAATCTTTCTAGTATTTCAGCTTGTATTAAAGGTGGGAATGCCCAGAATTGGCTAATTAAGGTATTTTCTTCAAAGGAGAAGTTGTGTGTAGGGGTGCCCAGTTCGTGAGGCGACTGGTGGTTATTCTGATATTCAGCTTTATTGTTTTCCACCACCTTTGAATAGATGTCTTTCTTATTTAATTTGATGAGATGCGAGGGGGGCCCGGGCACTTCGAATAGGCGAGTCACTGTCAGGCCTACCCTGTGCAACTTTTCCTTATTAATTAATATTTGTTTTGCGGTCGAGTCATCTTTAAATGTCAGCATCACTCGATTATACTTATTGTCATTTGGGAGAAAATCTGCATTGATAACGTTCCCTTGTAATAGGAGGCCTCTGAGTACTAAGTCAATTTTTTTAAATATATACGTTCTTTGTTGGTCCAGTGAATGTAATTCTGTACGGTTGTACATAGGGCAAATAACCAATCTGCTTCTGTTGAGGATCAGCGTTTGGTTGTTCTGAGTTATCTTGTTGCGAATGGGGGTGTTAGTCACCACAGTAGCAGAGGAGGTTTGCCGATCTTTATCTATTTGTTCGTTCCGATCTTTCGTTGGTTGAGGGCTAGGGGATTGTGATGCACTTGTCACTTTGGGTTGCTGGATAATGCTCTGTTTTGGGGTCACGGGTTTAGTATTCTTTGTATTTGATTCCTTTATTGTGGGATTCTCCAGGAGCTTGAATAACTTAGAAAAATTCAATTTCTTAGTTCGTATATGACTCTTAGTCCGCCTTCCCACTTTTATGTTTTTAGACTTCTTCTTGTGAAGTGGGAGTATTCTTTGGTGGCGATGCTTCTTTTTAGGTGAGGAGTGTGTGACTCGACTGTTGGTAAACATGGGAGTGGCTCTCTCTGGGACCTTCTCTGAGATACTGGACTCTGTTGGAATTTCAGCCGCTGGAGTGGGGGGGGGTGAGATTGCTCCCCTCCTGATGAGCTCTGTCAGGCTTACTAGCAAACCCACACATTCCGTAAGAAAGTTCCTAATTGGTCCTAATTCTTTACTTATGTGCATTTGGCATTCTTTCATCATTTCATTGAAAAGCCCAATCAGGATACAGGTATTGCTATCTGTGACCCAGCAGGCTCCTTTTAGCTGACTTGGATTTTCCTCTATTCTCGTCGCACTTGAGGATTCCATCCTAGCCTTTTCGCTGGGGCTGGCTGCATTGACTGATCCATCTAGTGTGCCTTCCAGGCATTTCAAATTTCGTTCTTGATCATGTTCTACGGGAGTGTCGGTAGCACTAGATTGGGAGACTATCTGAGCCATCTCCATTGCCAGACTGATCCCCTCTCTCCTCATCAATATCAGGTTCCTTCCCATACCATGTTCGGTCAATAGACCAATCGTGGAGAAGTGGGGACTCGGAGCCTATGGGCGTTTTTGTTTTAGGCTTAAAATAATGCAAAATTTTCGTCTGCGAGGTTACAGATGGAGATTCAACCCTCTGCGTTGGGGAGATCCCCAGAACTTTACATTTCTGTCTGGTGAGCACCATCTCCGTAGAGTGTATGGAGCTCCGTAGAGTATATGGAGCTATGTGGGATATGTGGATGTGAAGATAGCACCACTTAGTCCCAGTTAGACAAGCTGGAATTAGCACTCCTCTTGTTAAATAACGCTCTCCCCAGAAGCTCCACATCTAGTTAATTAATTAGAAGTGGCTGTGGTCCACTGTGTGCCAGACTTTCCGACAGTTCACAATCTAGCGGTCAGAGGTAGAGGGGGACAGATAAAATAGATTTTTACAGCGGCATTACTTACAATGACCGTGGCAGATGAAACGTTGAGGGGAGGAGGGCGATGTAATCCAATCTGGCTTGAACCGCCATCTTACTTGCCGAAGAGACTATGTAGTGATACTCCCCGACGGCGTTGAAAGCCCTCCGGTGATGTTAACATTAATTTACTGCCCCCGCTGTACCCCACCGACTGCGTGGAATTCCGAAGTGTAAGTAGAGCTCAGTACTCTCTCTTCCTCTCTTCCTCTCCCTCTATTATAGTTGTGCTTGGAGAGGTGTTTCGTTGCCCCTCTCTTCAGCGAGGCATTTAGAGAACCAGCAGTTTATCAATGTCGCCAGTAAAACCGTAAAACAATAAAACGATAGCTAAGATAAACAGGAGCAGTGGTGAGGTGATAAGTCAGCCAATAAATCATTAAAACTATAAAATTAGAGTCCAGGAAGGCTAAAAAAAACTACTTAAAATCTTAATTGAAGGCAGGCGAACCTGACTATGCTGCTATCTCCGTCGCCATCTTCACCTGAAGATGCTCCTTCAGGTATACTGGGCTGAGGCTATTTAGAGCTTTGAAGGCCAGCACCAACTCTTTGAATTGTGCTCAGAAACATAGTGGGAGCCAATGTAGGTCTCGCAGAACCAGTGTTATGTGGTCTTGGCGGCCGCCCCGAGTCACCAGTCTAGCTGCTGCATTCTGGATTAGTTGTAGTTTCCGGGTCACCTTCAAAGGTAGCCCCACGGAGAGCGCATTGCAGTAGTCCAAGCAGGAGATAACCGGAGCATGCACCACTCTGGCGAGGCAGTCCGTGGGCAGATACAGTCTCAGCCTGTGTACCAGATGGAGCTGGTAGACAGCTGCCCTGGACACAGCAATTTAACATGAATTTTACTCTCTAATGAGACCATCGATCCATAAAATGAAAGCAATAAACAATGTACTGCAGTCATACAATCCATCAATCGGTAGCTGAACTGGGTTCCACACAGTCTCTCTCTCTCTCACACACACACACAGAGAGAGAGAGAGAGATGCAAAAACAAAAACACAAAAGAAATAGCAAAAGCAGACAAACCGCAGCATAACACTCAAAATGGAAGCATAACACTCAAAACGGAAGTGTGGCACTCAAAACGGAGCACGTTCAGCTTCCAAAATAAGTTCACAAACCAGAACACTTACTTCCAGGTTTGCAGTGTTTGGGTTCCAAGTTGTTTGAGTACCAAGGCTTTTGAGAACCAAGGTACCACTGTACAACATTCCTCATCCTTGCTTGCATCCTCCTTGAAGGTTTTTGCCTGGCTGGAATATGTCATCGAATGTTTCTTCCTTGCCTGTGTGGAAGACGGAGAGTGACGTGTCAGACTGGGGGGTGGAAATAGCCATAGAAGCACAGCACAGAACTGTACAGTTGGAAGGGACATCAAGGGTCAGCTAGTCTAGGGTTGCCACCTTTGTTCTGGCCGAATACAGGGCAGGGCACTTGGGGAGGTGATTTATTCTTTCTCCATCTGGTGCCGAAATGACTTCAAAGCAAGCCATTACAATCTATTGCTGCCTAACAGGATGGCCCCAGTACACTGGAGTGTGGGGAGTATTAAGGGACTGGTAGGCATTGGTGACCAATCTGAGTCATTTTTGCATTTTAATGGCGAACCTACCTAATTCACACTTTCTGAAACAATACGCCGAAACACAACCGTCCTTCAAAACCTGCACTTTTCCAAATTTTGCAATGTAGCGCAAGTAATGCATGCAAAAATGGATATCCTAGGGTTAGATGGTGAAAATAGCGTACAGAAATGCACTTAGGGAAAAGACAAACCTATGGTTGTGTACAGTATATGCGGCAAAACGGCATACAGAAATGTGTTCTGTTGTGAGAAAATCAGCCTAAAAAGCTGACAAGTTTTGCTGAGAACTTTAAAACAATAAGAAATAAAATTGCAAACTGAGAGAAACCAAAATTAACAGATCTGTCCATCCCTAGCAGAGGAAAGGGGCAAGGGCGCAATGGTTGCACATCCTTCTTCAAACTTGCAATGTGGAGATATCAGTGTTAAGTTGTGGGCGAACATATCAGACGACACAGTGATTCTTCCAAAGCAGCTCTTTATTTGTAAGCTGGAATAGAACTAAGCTGAGGACCTCAGTCAGCCTGCTTATATAGAGCTCCAGAACAATGTAACTGTTGTCATTTTCTAAAACTATTCAATCACTGAACGTCACTTTTCGATCCTTATTTGCATAACTATCTATCACCCTGCTGGCCCAGGGTGAGAACTTCAGTACATAACAATCAGGAACAGGGCCTATTCCATTTTACAGATCTTAAGTTGCTGAAACACTAAAGGCTGCAGAGAGTTACCTATTTTTCGCTCTATAACACGCACCTGACCATAACACGCACATAGTTTTTAGAGGAGGAAAACAAATATATATATATATTCTAAACAAAACAGTGGATGTATGATTTTTGTGGTTCATGTTGTGGCCACAGACATGTGATCTGACGGTGAGTTTGGGGTAGCCCAGTGCAAAAATCCTGAGGATCCATGTGGATCCATGCTTTGTAACCATGTTTTTGCACCACTGCGGCCCCAGGCAACAGTGGGTGCGTGATTTTTTTGGTGCAAGCTGTAGCCATGGACATGCTATGTGATCTGATGGTGAGTTTGGGGTGACCCAGTGCAAAAATCCTGAGGATCCATGTGGATCCATGCTTTGTAACGTTTTAAGTGGGGAGGGAAGGAAAAGCACTCAAGGGACAAGGAGCACGCGTGGGGTGTGTGGAGAAGGATGCTGCTAATAATGCAGAAGAGGGGTATAAGAGGAGAAGGCTCCTCACCTGTCCCACTTTGCTCCTTTAAAGAAAGCAGGCTCTGCTTCTCTCCCTCCTCCCCGGCTCACTGAAAAACTTTGCTGCTATTTAGCCAGCTGAGTGGGGAGGAGAGAGGGACAGAGAGCCTGCTTGCTTTAAAGGAGCCAACACGAGCGTAAGCGGCTCCTCTCCTCTCCTGCTTTGCTCCTTTAAAGCAAGCAGGCTTTCTGTCCCTCTCTCCTCCCCACTCAGCGGCTCTTCTCCCGCTTTGCTGTTTCAAAGCAAGCCACGGAGGAGGGAAGGAAGGGGAACCATGGATCCTCTGCTCACGACTGCAGCAGATCCCCCCGCCATCCGTAGGCATTCGCTCCATAACACGCACAGACATTTCCCCTTACTTTCTAGGAGGAAAAAAGTGAGTGTTATGGAACAAAAAATCCGGTAGATTTGGAATCCCTTAATGCTGAGAGTTGACCCTACCAAGCTACAAGAACTCATCTGACTTGGAGTGAACTAGCTCCTTATCCAAGTGGGTGAGAGGAATGGCTTACCCAATTTTTTCATTTATGCCAACCCATTTCTAGTAAACTGCATGCACGATAGAACATAACACTAACTGGAATGGATTCTATACTTCAGCAGCCTAAGAAGAAGTTAAGGCCACTCTTTGTGCACCATCTACTGGTTCAGTAGACACACACTGTGCATAGAAACAACTTTTTGACTTGGGCAAAGAGATCCAAAATAACTATAAGCCCTCTTTGGAGAACGCCTTGCCTGAAACGAAAGTTTCAGGAGCATTAGCACAAGTGGTTTAAATGTTTTTAATTGCCTTAAGTATGTTACTATTTTATTTTTAATAGTACGGCTTTACCACTTTGGTGTTTGCCGTCCTAGGCTCCTTTGGAAGACGCAACCATAAACTTAGAAGGGACCACGAGGCTCATTGTTATTTACTGAGTTGAATAGGATCCAAAAGGCAGCAGTCTGATTGGTCCTAGAACAATAGGATTCAGAATGCAGCAGTCTGATTGGTCCTAGAACAATAGGATTCAGAATGCAGCAGTCTGATTGGTCCTAGAACTATAGGATTCAGAATGCTGATTGGTCCACAGGAGCCACCCTATCCAGCTCCAGGTGGAAGTGAATCCGCAACCTGATTGGCCTACAGGAGAATCCCGGAATTAGCCAATCACGTGGGCCATTTGTGTAAATAATGTATATAAAGCAGACATTCTGGGGGAACGGGCATTCCTCCTCACCACTATGAGCTGAATAAAGAGCATGAAATCTACTCTCCACTCCGAGTATATTTCACTCATCCTAGTCCAAGCCCTTGCAATACAGGAACCTTTTGCCCAACATGGGGCTCGAACCCACAACCCTGTGTTTAAGAGCCTCACGCGCTAGCCACTGAGATATTCCAACAGGAAATCTTAAACATTTTCATTGTCTCCGCTAGAAGCTGAGTCTTTAGTGTTGGCAGGCCCAAGCTGAGGAACCCTCTTCCAGAAGAGACAAGCCTATGTACCATTTAAATTTTAAAAAATGTATTTATATCATTTAAAAGGTCATTTTGTACTGTTTTCATGCTGTTTTATATTTCACTGTATATATTGCTGCACACCAACATCTTATATTGTATGAACAGGTGATAAGGGTAAAGGTAAAGGTAAAGGCACCCCTGACCATTAGGTCCAGTTGTAGCTGACTCTGGGGTTGCGGCACTCATTTTGCTTTACTGGCCGAGGGAGCCGGCGTACAGTTTCCGGGTCATGTGGCCAGCATGACTAAGCTGCTTCTGGCGAACCAGAGCAGCGCACGGAAACGCCGTTTACCTTCCCGCCGGAGCGGAACCTATTTATCTACTTGCACTGGCATGCTTTTGAACTGCTGGCTGGGCAGGAGCAGGGACCGAGCAACGGGAGCTCACCCCGTCGCAGGGATTTGAACCGCCAACCTTCTGATCGGCAAATCCTAAGCTCTGTGGTTTAGACCACAGCACCACCCACATCCCTTGAACAGATGATATATACGGGTAAATACTATTGCTGTACTGGGATGCAGAAGCGGCTTAGTCCTGCTGGCCACATGACCCGGAAGCTGTACGCTGGCTCCCTCGGCCAGTAAAGCGAGATGAGCGCCGCAATCCCAGAGTCGTCCATGACTGGACCTAATGGTCAGGGGTCCCTTTACCTTTACTATTATTGTATAAAATAAATAGATCTAATAATAATGGGTGGTGTTTGTGCTTTCCACAAACGGATGTCCTCCTAAAATGACAGATTTTTTCCGAGAGGGCCAGAGTCTCACACAGATCAGATCTCCCGAAAGCCCAACAAAAAGTATTCATATTCTCCTCCCCAACCTCGGGTGACATCAAAGACTTCTTCAATTAGGGAGAACTCTTGGCCTTTGATGCATCTTCTACCCAGTTTGGAACGAAGCAGGAGAGAAAATTGCCCATATTTCAGTGGCCTCACATCTGCGACCTTGTCTTATTAGACGTGACACTTGGCGTGAAGAGCAATGCCTTGTGCTTTTTAAGAGAAATGAGTAACAAGGGCTATAGCACGGCTCAACAGGCCTGTCCACCAGTATATATATACCTACGGCCATAAGGGCAAAAACCAGAAGGACCTTCTCCGTTCCTGCTCCTCAAGAGAAGCAGCTGGTGGCGACCATGTCTTACAATATGCTAGCCTTCTGCTTGCTTTGGCTCCTGGCTCTCTCTTCGGCTTGCTACATCCAGAATTGCCCCATTGGAGGGAAGCGCTCCCTCCTGGACATGGAAGTCAGAAAGGTAGGTCATGGCGGGTTTATGGTAAGGTGGGAGAGGGCTTTGGCTCAGTGTTAAGAGCATCTGCATGCAGAAGACTGCAGGTTCAATCCCTGGGCTCTCCATATCAGACCGGGAAAGAATTCTGTCTGTTGGTGTGTGGGTCTGTTTGTGTGTGGGTGTGCTTTAAATGCATGGTTTGCATGCCATCCAAAACATCTACAACTGTAAACATCGCCAGACATCGGATTATGTAAACCAGACTTCAATGAAGCTACATTTCCTTCGTTTTGTGCCCCACACCAGTGCATCTCGTGTGGGCCAAGAAACAGAGGGCATTGCTTTGGTCCCAACATCTGTTGCGGGGAAGAACTAGGCTGTTACTTTGGCACAGCGGAAACCATGAGATGCCAGGAAGAAAACTTCCTCCCAACGCCTTGCGAGTCTGGAAGGAAGCCGTGCGGCAACAGCGGTGGGACTTGCGCTTCATCAGGCATCTGCTGCAACAATGGTGAGGACATCTCCCCATCAGAAACCTGCCCTTTTCCTTTTCTTTTTAAAATAATTTTTATTGGATTTTATATTTTTATAAAATAACAAACACATAACAAACAAAATACATAGCCCCCTTTGCCCCCTATGACTTCCCTCAACTTCCTTTTCTGGTTTTTTTGCATAATAACTTCTCCTGCTCCTTACTTTGTTTTATCTTAATATTGAGTTCTCTATATTGCTTGTTGTTGTACTCTTATCTTATTTAACAATCTCTTTGTAGTTTCTATATTTGCTAGTGAGTTCATCTCTTTCCATTGTTTCTGTATATACAACATGAATGGTTCCCATTCTTTTTTAAAGTCTCTGCAGTATTGTCTTTATCTCTAAGTCTTTTCATCAGTTTTTACCATTTCAGCATATTCCATCAGCTTTCCTTGCCATTCTCCTGTTGTTGGAATTTTGTCGCTTTCCCATTTTTGGGCTAACAATATCCTTGCCACGGTTGTAGCAACATGAAAAGTTTATTCTTCTCTTTTGGCTGAAACCCGCCCTTTTTACCCATAACATTCACAGCTATGCTGTCCGTATCTGTGCAGCGCCATGCGGTTTCTGGCATTTGTGCTTTCCACAGTGTGCATATGACCCTTTTTGCTTTTTCAAGTGAGCGCGATTTGGTTTCTGACAGTTGGAAATTACTGTAGGCATAGAAATTGCTGCTTCTACAGTTGCTGTCAAGCCTGCTGTTAAAGGGTCGAGGGTGAACATGGAAACCATAGTGCCACATCACATCTCTGCTCGGCTACATAAAGCCAGTTTAGATGTGAGTAGGATCTCTGTCTTGTGCAGAGGTTCAAGTCAACATGCGGGGGATGGGGCTGGGAACCCCAGAAATGGTTCTGATCCCCCATTTATATGCATTTTAAACATCCACAAATTGCTACCGTGAAACAGGAATACATGCAGCTTTCTTGCAGTGAAATGATATTTTTGAATGAAAAGTGGCTTTTCTTAGAATCATAGAACTGCAGAGTTGAAGGGAACCCAAGGATCATCTAGTCCAACCCCCTGCAATGTAATTACTTCTTAGCACAAGGTTACCAGATTTTTTTCAATGAATCCAGGGACACTTTTCAGCTTCGGATAGGATTTTGTCAAGGGACTGATTTGTAAATCCGGGGACTGTCCCCGGGAAAAGGGGATGTCTGGTAACCTTATCTTAGCAACTAGTTGATGCCAGCCTAAGCAAATCAACATTTCCATAAAATATGCCACTTCCCCTATATCTTATGTGATGCTGAGGAGCATGAAAGAGTACTTGAAATGACCAAGAGTTTGCTAGAATACTGTTTTCTCATTTTAACGTTTCCCATTTCCCTTTTAACAACTGTTGGGGACTAAGGCTTAGGCAGCTGAAAGGGACCGGAACTCTCTTGATGAGGTGTGGGGAACCATCAGGAACAAGGGTGTGTGTGTGTGTGTGTGCAAATGCAGCCCTCTAAGCCTCTCTGGCCCTTGGGTCACTCCCCAGCCCACACCTGCTCCCCAATCCTGCTTTGCACCCTTCTTGAATGTTTTTGCACAGCAGGAATGTCCCTCGATGATGCCTCTTGCTTGTGTGGATGGAGAATAGAGAGGAGGGTATGTGAGAAACTAGGGAAGCGGGTGGCGCTGTGGGTTAAACCACAGAGCCTAGGACTTGCCAATCAGAAAGTTGGAGGTTCGAATCCTCGCCTGCTCCCTCGGCCAATAAAGCGAGATGAGCGCCGCAACCCCAGAGTCGGCCACCACTGGACCTAATGGTCAGGGGTCCCTTTACCTTTTTATGTGAGAAACTAGCCAACTGTAAAACTAGCCAAAGGTAAAATCTGCATGCACCGCCCCACCCACTTTTGCCTGTGCCCCTGGAAGTTGTCTAGAAGAATATGCAGCTCTTGCCTTTAAAAGATTCCTCCTCACTTGACCATGTTCCCTGGAATTCCAGAGATATATTACCAGAAAGGAATTTGATAAGCTGCCTCTGTGTGTCTCCTCTAATCACGCAGGCAACACTTTTCCCCTCTCAAGATGTTGGCAGGTGCTCCTTGAATTTTGGCACTACAGTGGTACCTCAGGTTACAGACGCTTCAGGTTACAGACTCCACTAACCCAGAAATAGTACCTCAGGTTAAGAACTTTGCTTCAGGATGAGAACAGAAATTGTGCTCCGGCGGCGCGGCGGCAGCAGGAGGCCCCATTAGCTAAAGTGGTGCTTCAGGTTAAGAACAGTTTCAGGTTAAGAACGGACCTCCAGAACGAATTAGGTTCTTAACCCGAGGTACCACTGTACAGACAGTTGTCCAGGTAGTCTCTGTTGTTGGGCTGGCTCAGTATGCAAACTGCCTTGGGCAGATCTGTTCCTATGATGATCAGAAACGGCCACAAAAGACGTGGCCCATGTTGGTTTCTTTTGACGAATTTCCTTGTCATTTCAGAGGGCTGCATGGTAGACTCTGCCTGTGACCAAGAATGAAAAGACAACAAGGAACGAGGATCATGTGAATCCACTTTTAGATTATGAACTTGCAGGCAACGCCAGTGGGACACTTCAAGTATGCATGCTAGATGCCAACGGCTGACAAACTTGTGCAAATTAACAGTTGCATATCTGCAACAGAAGTCTATGATTTGTGTTCTCCTGGCTTTTCAATAAAGTTCTATTAGCATGTCTATTGCTTATGTCACTGTTCATCTGCTTAACAATATGGCATGGAAGGGGGATACATTTGTTTATTCATTCATTTACTTGAGTCATTGTTTGCCTGTTGGCAAAAAAAAAAAAAAAGTCTGCCAAGACTACCATAAAAAGATTTTTAAAGCACACATTAAAACAGTAAAATGTATTATTGCAAATTCTCAAAAAATGCTATAAAACGCAGCAAGAACTAGTCACAATTCCAACCAATCTCAACCTCCCAAGGCTTGGTGGAATAGAAAGGGCCTTCTTCAAGAGCCCACATAGTACAGGGTAGAATAGGCAATGATCAGCAGCTAGAGAAGGGCTTTTAGCAATGTGTAATAATTGGAGGGAGGCGAGGTAACAGGCAGTGTAAGAACTCAAGTACAGAACAACGTCCCCATTTCCATCTGAAATGTTGGAGTGCATGGAAGAAACACTTCGTAAAGGAAAGCGTGGCGGCTCTCTGAGGTAATAACAATAACCCTTTGACGGGGCCTTCTTGGTAGTGGCTCCCCACTTGTGCAAAGCTTTCCATCATTCTTAACATTCAGGAGAAATTTTTAAAGCAGGCACTTTGAAAAATTCTCTTCCCGGCATCCTTGACATTATTAGCTATGAGGATATATTACTGTTTAATTTTGTTATTCTGATTTTTAATTGTACTGCTTCGCTGTTTGCCACCCTGGGCTCCTTTGGTAGGACAGGCAGATGAGAATAATGCTAATACTTTAGTAATAATAATACCCGTGAGGAGGACCAGGAGCTGAGGTGCGGTTCCCCCCGCTCCTTTTATTTTATTATTTGCTGCATCCCACCCTTTCTCCTCCAAGGAGCTCAAGGTGGGCTACATGCCTCTCCCCACTCATTTAATCCCCCACAATAAACCTGCAAGGCAGGCTAAACGGTTAACTTGAGTGAAAGGGAAGAGGAACTACATTTCCCATCACGCCCACACCCTACTTCCGGTGCCCTGCCCGCCCTCCGGCAGATGAGGCGCCGTCTTTCCCGCTCATTTCCTTGATTGACAGCGAGAGGAAGGACTACGTTTCCCCTCATGCTCACGCCCTATTTCCGGTGTCCTGCACACCCTGCCTTCCTTCTTTCCGCCTGCTTTTATTTCTGAGGTAGGCCGCGCTCGGGTCTCACGCGCCTCACGGACCCAGCAAATACGGGGCCTAATAGCAGGAGACGGGAGTAGCGAAAGCGAGAAAACCATCAGTAGCCCGGGTCTACTTCCGGTGTGTAGGCCACAAGGAATCGAGTTGAAGAAGACTCCATTTCCCATCGTGCCTCAGCCCCACTTCCGGTGCTCAGCCGCTCGAGAGGCAAAAGACCGCGAGGAAACTACATTTCCCATACTGCCCCAGCCCAGCTTCCGGCGTGCGGACTTTTCCCTCAGGATTTTGCTTCCGCTCTAACCGCCGCCGCCGCCGGGATGCTTCGCGGGCTGGTCCCCTTCTCCGGCCGGGGCGGCCTTCTGGGCCGGAGTCTGGCGCCGCTCCTGGCCGCGCCTTCGCGGGGCCGCAAGACGCGCCACGACCCCCCCGCCAAATCCAAAGCCGGCAGGGTCAAGGTGCCGCCGCCCGTCGACCCGGCCGAGCTGCTGGTGGTGCTGGGCCGCTACGAGCGCTATAGGCGGGTCATGACCGCCCTCAGGTGAGGCGCTGGGGAAGCCTGCCACTCAGCCCGGCCGGCCAATCAGGGCAGCCGGCGGGCCCGTGGAGGCGGGGCCAAGTGGACCTGGAAGGGGAGTCTCGGGGGTGGGGGAGGCGAAGTGGGGGGCCGGGCTCTGGCTCCTCTCCCTTTCTCTGCTGCGCCAATTTATTCAGATTCAGGTAGGTAGGTGGGCTGACGCAGTCGAAATAAATTTTAAAAATTAAAAAATTGTCCAGTAGCACCTTAGAGACCAACTAAGTTCTTGGGAGAAAAGCAATGACAAACCTAGACAGCATCTTAAAATGCAAAGACATCACCTTGCCAACAAAGGTCGGTATAGTTCAAGCTATGGTTTTCCCCGTAGTGATGTATGGAAGTGAGAGCTGGACCATAAAGAAGGCTGATCGCCGAAGAATTGATGCTTTTGAATTCTGGTGCTGGAGGAGACTCTTGAGAGTCCCATGGACTGCAAGAAGATCAAACCTATCCATTCTGAAGGAAATCAGCCCTGACTGCTCACTGGAAGGACAGATCCTGAAGCTGAGGCTCCAAGACTTTGGCCACCTTATGAGAAGAGAAGACTCCCTGGAAAAGACCCTGATGTTGGGAAAGATGGAAGGCACAAGGAGAAGGGGACGACAGAGGACAAGATGGTTGGACCAGCATGAGTTTGACCAAACTGCGGGAGGCAGTGGAAGACAGGAGTGCCTGGCGTGCTCTGGTCCATGGGGTCACGAAGAGTCGGACACGACTAAACAACAACTACAAAAGTTTGTTCTGGATATAAGCTTTTGTGTGCATGAACACTTCTTCATGAATCTAGAATCATGGAGGAATCTAGAATCTCCATGAATCTAGAATTATGGAAGGCAGCACATTGAGCTGCATGAAATGGAAGAAGTGTGCATGCGAACGAAAGCTTATAACCAAAACAAACTTAGCTGGTCTCTAAGGTGCTACTGGACAATTTTTTATTTTTTTATTTATTCCAATTTATTTAGTTATTGTAGACCACAAGTTGAACATGAGCCCACAGGGTGATGCAGCAGCAGAATTAAGTGAGTGCTATTCAAGGCTGTCATGGATGCTTTAGTTGAGATTCCTGCATTGCAGGGGGTTGGACTAGGTGCAAAGATGTGGCGTGACAGCCATCTTCAAATCGGTGTTTGAAACTCCCAGTGTTTTAGGTGCTTTTTTTTGCAGCAGGGCATTTCATTAGCGCAAGCAGTTTCTGAGCTCTGGGCTCAGTACTGTGCCTAAGATTTCAGATTAAAACTGCAGAGTGGAAGGAAAGGAGGATGTTTTTCTGCCTCCCCACTTCCAGATACTCTCTGAAAACTGGAGAAGAGACCCTCTTAAGAATATTAGGGGGGTGGGCAGGGGAAGGACTAGACCATGTGATAAATGAACATAATATTTTAGCTGCAGTTCATTTATTTTCAGCTTTGTATTCTTGTTATTAAAAAAGTGTGCCTAGACATTCCAATGTTGCATCCATAACCTAAGTTTAAGGTGCCATTTAGATCCTAGCTTGCATATCTCAGTTTCTAACACTGCTTCAAGTGTCTGAAGGGCTGTCACATAGAGGCCAGGACTTGAACCAATGGCTTCAAGCTCCAAGGAAGGAGATTCAAACTTAAACATCAGGAAGAACAGTCTGATAGTAAGAGCTGTTTGACAGTCTTGCTCGGGAGGTGGTGGACTCTCCCTTCTTGGAGGGTTTTAAGCAGAGTATGGATGACCACCTGTCACATTGATTTAGTTGAGATTCCTGCATGGTAGGGGATTCTATGATTTATATATTAAATGTGTATACCACCCTTCATCTGAAGAGTTCAGGCAGTTCACAGCATAAAAATACAAGATAAAACACAGCTGCGCAAACATAAGTTCTGAATGATTGATAGGCATTCATCAGGGTTGGGGGACCTGCGATGGGAGTTGTAGTTCAGTGACATCTGGAGGATCCCAACCCTGCATATGACACATGGGGCCCTTGTGACTCTTGCCTCTGCAGGGAAGATATCAGTAACAAAGGGGCAGCTGCTTTTTTAACATTCCCTCCTATGCTCTCCACCAGAGGCGAGTTCAAAGAAGAGGTGCTACGGAAACATTATGCAGAGAAGTATGGGGAAGTCTGGAAGCAGAGAGAGGAGGCTGCAAACAAGGAGCATCAAGAGCTGATGGCCTGGAATGACACAGAGAACAGGCGTCTACGGGAACGGAGGTGAGCATGGCGTGTCTCTTGATTTTTAAATCTGCTGTTGATTTCATTACTCTTCTTGGCCTTTGGCTGTTTCTGTTGTCTTGAGAGCAGCAAGTGCTAAGTTCCTTCTGTGTCCCTAACCCCAGGGAGGAGCGCCTCCGAAAGGAAGCGGCAGCTGATCAAGAACGCCGACTGCAAGGAGCCCAGAATCGGGCTACCTATATGGAAGAAATTCTCAAGGAGAAGGAGAAAGAGGTGCTCCAGTTGCAGGTAGGGAAGCCAGCATGCTGCAAGCAGCTGCCTTCACTTTGACGCTTCTTCCTTAGAGCAATCTTTTTGCTACTGCGGACTGGTTAAATGTCAAAATGCTACCTAGTTTTGATGATGTTTGGGGGACACAAAATAAAAGAGAAACCAGGATCAAACTGGAACGTGTCCAGAGGAGGGCAACCAAAATGGTCAAAGGCCTGGAAACGATGCCTTAAGAGGAACGGCTAAGGGAGCTGGGCATGTTTAGCCTGGAGAAGAGGAGGTTAAGGGGTGATATGATAGCCATGTTCAAATATATAAAAGGATGTCACATAGAGGAGGGAGAAAGGTTGTTTTCTGCTGCTCCAGAGAAGAGGACACGGAGCAATGGATCCAAACTACAAGAAAGAAGATTCCACCTAAACATTAGGAAGAACTTCCTGACAGTAAGAGCTGTTCGACAGTGGAATTTGCTGCCAAGGAGTGTGGTGGAGTCTCCTTCTTTGGAGGTCTTTAAGCAGAGGCTTGACAACCATATGTCAGGAGTGCTCTGATGGTGTTTCCTGCTTGGCAGGGAGTTGGACTCGATGGCCCTTGTGGTCTCTTCCAACTCTATGATTCTATGATTCTATCCTTTGGCTATTGTTTTAGGTTACCAGAGGAGGGTGTGGCTGGGTTAAAAGTGGTAGGAGTCCAAATACAGTGCTGGGGGATTTTACTGAAGGCCACTGCTGCCTTTTCTCCAACCCTTTGGGCGCTGATGCAATGACAAAAGACTTGAAACAGACAACTCTGTGTGTTTGGAGTGTTGTTCAGGGGGAGAAATACTGTGTTTGTAAAATGCCTTCTTTTCCTCTTTTGCTGATGCAGGAAGAAGCCAAGAACTTCATCACCCCTGAAAATATAGATGAGCGGATTGAGGAGTGCCTAGACAACCCTCGCAACTACAATTTTGCCATTGATAAGGAAGGAAGGATAGCCAAGCGGAGCTTATTGCCTTAGCAACTCATACCAGAGGAGCCTGGGCGTCCTGGTATTCCCTGCCAGAGTGGTTGAGTGTCCTTTCTGCTGCCAGAGTCACTGTGAGGGGACCAGGACTGGCTTGCTCAACTTCATCAATAAGACTGCTTTGAGACATTCACCCTGAAAGATGTATATCTTTGGGGTTTTATACTTCCAGAACATTGGTGCCCTTCTTGAAGACTTTGTTGCCGTTTTTCCGTAATAAAATACTGGGTTTCTCTTAGAGGTTTCATTTGCTATGTCCTGAGCATTTTAAAGGTCTATGGCAAAGAGGGGCCACAAAACTTCTCAGTGAGGATTGGGCACAGAATGGTGAGTGACCGTTGGGGAGGAAGCATGGAAATGGGGGTGGAACAGGGTGGATTCTCGTTCTCAGGCTAACCAAACACCAATTAGTGAACATGCGGCAATGTGAGTGGCAAAGAAAGCATATTACAGCTTGGTACCTGATTGGGAGGTATCTTTTGGATAGTTCAGAAGGGGAAGGATCCCTGGAGCTCTTGAGGGCTGACCTTGGTCAATTGGCTGCACATTTTGGGTATAATGTCGCTCATCTTCTGAGAGACTTTAACTCCATAGTTGTTGCAGTTCCAACTGAAGCACCAGGAAAGTGATGTTCAGCCCTCTCGGAGTTATGCTGTGGGCCCTGTTTTATCCCCAATGCTATCTAATATCTATATGAAGCCATTAGAAGTGGCTCTCCATATCTTCTTCTGTGCTATACAGTGGTACCTCGGGTTACATACGCTTCAGGTTACAGACTCCGCTAACCCAGAAATAGTACCTCGGGTTAAGAACTTTGCTTCAGGATGAGAACAGAAATTGCACAGCAGCGGCGCAGCAGCAGTGGGAGGCCCCATTATCTGAATTAACTGAAGTGGTGCTTCAGGTTAAGAACAGTTTCAGGTTAAGAACGGACCTCCGGAACAAATTAAGTTCTTAACCCGAGGTACCACTGTACTGGCTGGGGCTGATGGAACAGCAGGTTCGCCATCCATGGTCTGACGGTACAAAACACTCTTTGTAAAATCCCCTTCTTGCTTCCAAACTACCTGCAATCAGAAGCATGCAAGAAGAGCTTACAGAATAAGACCAAATGCCCATCCAGTCCAGTAGAGCATGAGACTGATTAATCTCAGGGTCTTGGGTTCGTGCCCCACATTGGAGAAAAGATTCCTGCATTGCAGAGAATTGGACGAGATGATTCTCGCGGTCTCCTCCAACTCTACAGTTCTTTGATTCTATGCTCACAGTGGCTAACCAGATGCCGATCAGATGCCCATGGGAAGCCCCCTTGCAGGACGTGGGTGCAACAGCAGGCTCCCCACTTGTGATTCCCAGCAACTGCTATTGAGAGGCATCGTGTCACCTTGGCTAGCAGCCATTAATAGCCTTACCCTCAATGAATTTGTCTTGACCCCTTTTCAAGCCTTTCAACCTGGTGGCCATCACTAGGTCTTCTGAGAGAGATTCGACCATTTAACCATGCGTCGTGGACCATGCTTCGAATTTCCCTGCAACTTTAGATTAAGTGGCCTACGAAGTGCAGCTTGAAACCTGTAAATGGTGATGTGTCTTTGGACACACATGCAGAGTGCAAACACAGATGTGTGTGTAGCAAAATAAAGTATTTTATTCAACATAATTGAGTTTTACAAGTGCATAAAGAGAACTCCCTGCAAATCTTCATTCTGACTGGACAACAGTAAACACAAATGCTTTTTTCAGTCACTAGAGTAGTACGTTCACATGCTGGGAATTTGAGTAAAGACTGCTACAGTGTTCTTGAGAATTTAACAATGGGCTGGGCACATCACTCCCACAAACAGAACACATTAAGCTGAAGAGGAGGGGTGGGTCGTCTGTTCAGGTGCAAAACGTTTCCCAAAAAAACATGCAAAGGGGCATCATTTTTTCTTCTGAAGTTGTCTTGCTAGCATGTCGGCCTGTTAAAATGAATGCAACAGCATATCAGCAATAAGGAATTGAATGTTCCAGAATGATCAAGGATCTACTTTGGTCTGAAAACATCTTAGCAGGGAACAGGAGCAGAACTAGTCCCCATTCATGCAAACATTAGTTAAATGAGTCCTACATGAACTGATTCTGTTGAAAAGGGTTGTGCATGAAAAGGATGTAGCATGAGGAAATATTCCCTGATCTGTGGAGACGCATGCATGGCAAGTTGCCACCTGATATGTCAACAAAATTAGGCTGGAGTAGGGGAGGTCAGTTAACAGCTATTAATGCATGCTATACTCCTTTCCTACAGACCCTCAGGTATTAAGATCAGCACAGGAAGGCCCTCTTGGTATTATTAGTAGTAGTAGTAGTAGTAGTAGTAGTAGTAGTAGTAGTATACTGCCGTTCATCTGCAGATCACAGGGCAGTTCTCAACATAAAAATACAACATAAAAGCAGAAAATACATGCTAAAAACAAGAACAAGAAAACCCAAACCAATATCCCAACCCTCCACATCCACCCTGTTTAGTTCATCCATTCAGGTTACTTTGGGATTGTGGTGGCCCAGGAGAGGCCCAGTCTCCAAACTGCATAATTCCCTTCCTTGGCACCTTCACGATACAGCTTTCATCATATGCTGAAGTTATGCCTTTTAATCCTTTTTATTTGACACCTGAGATAATTTTGTAAGGGCCCACCCCATTCTTCCGATTGTTAATTGTTTTAACTGATTTTAGCATCATATATATATATATATACTTTGCCTTACCCAAAGAGCAGTTAAGAAATCGTCATCACTCTCATATTACTCTTTATCACTGGAAACAAACACCACATTTAGAGATTTTTCTGAAGACCAGGTGCCGTGGGACAAAGATCAGCACGGGGCAAAGCCCTCCTTCCCAGTTTGTGGTCTTCCTGGAAGCTCAGCCTTTTCCCAGTGCTTCCCCCCAGCAGCTGGCCTTAAGTGATGTACTACTGCCTCTGAAGCTTTAAGACCCAACTACCGTACTTTTAGTTGTCACCAGCTGCCTTAAATGAGCCAATCCCAAGAGGAATTTGCAAAGCCCTGCAAAGATTAATCTCACTCTGCTCTCCTCCAAAGAGGCTCTGAATCTACAGTGCCACTCCCTTGCTTACCAGCAGAGTCTTCACAATTTTATCCCTCGGGATCTTCAGATAAGTGCAGTCTTCCCCATCGCATAATTTGATATCTTCAGAGACCTGAATTCAGAGCAAGAGAGAGAGAGAAGTGTGCTAAGGCAGCTCAACTGACTTAGGCAGGCGATGCCAGGGTAAGGACAGCATCGGCGTACCTCTGGACTTTGTGGCAAATCAATCTCTCTCTTCCCTCCCGGGTACCAGCCGTGGGACCAGTGCTGAGCGCTTGATAGATGCATGCTGATGGTGAGCATTATGCACAGAGAAAGCAGGAGGGACCTTTGGTATGCCATAGTGGTGCCTGGAGCCTCACTGCCTCAATAAAATCTGCAGAGGGAGGGAGGAAGGGAAGAAAAAAAGCATTGGGAAGCTCTGCAAAGGCAGGAATTGTAAGGTGTTGTTTTCTAGTACCTTGGGTTACAGACGCTTCAGGTTACAGATGCTTCAGGTTACAGACTCTGCTAACCCAGAAATAGTACCTCGGGTTAAGAACTTTGCCCCAGGATGAGAACAGAAATTGTGCGGCGGCAGCGGGAGGCCCCATTAACTAAAGTGGTACCTTAGGTTAAGAACAGTTTCAGGTTAAGAATGGACCTCCGGAACGAATTAAGTACTTAACCCGAGGTACCACTGTATTGGGCCATTCCTACAGGACTGCCATTAATAACCAAGTTTCACATGGGCAGACTATGAAAGCCACAGGTGTGCAGACAACAGGTGGTGCCCCTTAACACATACGTATTGTGCCGATGTTGAAGGACTTGCACACTTTATTTACTACCCACTGAGTCAGTTTCGAGATCTTGTTGCTTAAAAGCAAAGCCCCAAACTACTCTGGACCAGGTCACCGGAAATACCAACTTCCCCTCCCTTGGCCATTAACACCATTAAGATCAACAAATGGGACCTGGGTGGGCTTGCCATGGTCTCGTGTTAATGCGGAGATGGGCTCTTTCACTGGCAGCAATAGAACTGCAGCCTGCGCTTCCTGCAATGGCAATTCCACCAGCTTTTTGAAGACACGCCTATTTTCACAGCCATTCCCTTGATCTCTCATCCTGTCTCCTGTTTTAATTCTCGTGTTGTTTTAATGGGATTGCTTTAAGTGGGGGCTTGAGCAGGACTTGGAACGCTTTGGAAGAGAGGTTACTGGGGTCCACCAGTGGCAGGGAGCAAGGTTTGCAGCTGCCCACCCCACCCTAATGGTGTCTTCAAGTACTGAATTGTATTTTTCCCCATTGGACTGACTGGCTAGCACCTATTTGCTTATATGGGAGTAAAAAAGGAGGTCCCTGGACACATGGTTGCTGTGCTCTTCATCCCAGCCCACATATAACGGGGCGGGTACATTTCCCTCCTCCATTCCAATCCCTGAAACTGGTCACACTTACATCTAGATAACTGCAGACATTCTTCCTAAGGCTGCTTGGAAAAAACTGCTATTTCTTCCATGGGGAGTCAGAGTAACCCACTGCCTTTTACAAAAAAAAATTGCATCTACTGATGCTCATCCAACAGCAGTATTTTTTAACTGCAGTGGAAAGTGCTCTTTTTGCAAAGAGTGCATTACTCAGGCATTCAGTGCTCACATCAGCAGCAACCTTATCTGCTGAAAAAGATCCCCTTTTTCAAGCACCCTCCCTGGTGATGAATCTGTGGGGAGCACTTTGCAGCTATAGCTAGAAGTAATTCACAGAGATAAGCAAGGAACTACCTGGGGGTACCTTCAGCACAGCGCTATCGCAACTTGGCAAAAGATGGCAAACACCCAAAGGTAGAAACAGCACAAATATTGTCTGCCCTGGGAGATATATAAAACACATTTGCAATTAACATCTTTAGAACAAATCCCCTCCAACAAAACTAGCCAGATGTGACGCTTGGCTTGCAAGTAAGGACATTGTTCAAGTTACCTGCAAGACACGAATTGTAAGAGAAGCTTAATGAAAAGTCTACTCACGGTGACTTGATTGCTTTTGCTCTTCTCCCTCTGTCCTGAAATTCCTCGGATGCTCCAGCAATTTGCTCTGGGTATTTATATTATTCTTTGTGTACTTCAGCGCAAGCAACTGGTTGCCCCATTGGCCAAGGCTGTTTGCTGACGTTTGCTGCATCAGACTCTACGGATGGCAACATGCATCTAAGCCTCCCTCCCATCAGGACGGTGCTCAGCTAATACTCTTTCAGCAATCTGTCTTCTGACCCTTTCATTTGGCAGGAAAACTGGGGAACTCTGGAGTGAAAAGGTTCGATGCATTCCAAAAATAATTGTTAGATGGGACCGCTTGCCGGTCGGAACTTCTGCAGGCTTTGCATGACCCAGGCGGCTGCAGAGTCTGATCTTTAAAGCCCACTAAAGGGTTGGAAAATGTATGGAATAGCTGTTGATAGACTCATAGAATTGTAGAGTTGGAAAGGGACCACAGGGTCATCTAGCCTAACCCCCTCCAATGCAGGAATCTTTTGCCCTGGACTTGAAGCCAGGACCCTGAGATTCAGAGTTGCGTGCTCTACTGCTCCCCTCTGTAAAGGTAAAGGTAAAGGGACCCCTGACCAGGTCCAGTCGTGGCCGACTCGGCGGTTGCGGTGCTCATCTCGCTTTATTGGCCAAGCGAGCCGGCGTACAGCTTCCGGGTCATGTGGCCAGCATGACTAAGCCGCTTCTGGTGAACCAGAGCAGCACAAGGAAACGCCGTTTACCTTCCCGCTGAAGTGGTACCTATTTATCTACTTGCACTTTTGATGTGCTTGCGAACTGCTAGGTGGGCGGGAGCAGGGACCGAGCAACGGGAGCTCACTCCGTCATGGAGATTCGAACCACCAACCTTCTGACTGCCAAGCCCTAGGCTCTGTGGTTTAACCCACAGCGCCACCCGCGTCCCTTAGAGCTCAATAAAAATTGGCTACCAACGCCAAAGTGCCTGTGATATCACAGAATCTTAGAGTTGGAAGGGACCCCGAGAGTCATCTAGTCCAACCCCCTGCAGTGCAGGAGTCTCAACTAAAGCATCCATGACAGATGGCCATCCACCACCTCTCTTGCGAGTCTGTTCCACTGCTGAACAGCTTTTACTGTAAGAAAGTTTTTCTCCTCCAGAGCAGGAGAAAACAAGCATACTCCCTCCATGTGACAGCCCTTAAGATATTTGAAGATGGCTCTCATATCTCCTCTCAGTCTCTCCTTTTCCAGGCTAAACATACCCAGCTCCTTCAACTGTTCCTCATAGGGCTTAGTTTCCAGACCCTTGACCATCTTGGTTGCCCTCCTCTGCACATGTTCCAGCTTATCAAGATCCTTCTGAAATTGTGGTGCCCAGAATTGGACACAGTATTCCAAGTGTGGTCTGACCAAGGCAGAGTAGAGCGGTACTATTACTTCCCTTGATCTGGACACTAGACGTCTATTGATGCAGCCTAGAATAGCATTAGCTTTTTTTCACTGCTGCATCACACTGTGGACTCACGTTCAGCTTGTGGTCCACCAAAACCCCTAGATCCTTTTCACATGTACTGATAGTAAGCCAGGTGTCCCCCATCTTATATTTGGGCAGCTGGTTCTTCCCGCCTAAGTGCAGAACCTGACATTTGTCCCTATTGAAATTCATTTTGTTAGCTCGTGCCCAGTTCTCCAATCTGCTAAGGTCATTTTGAATTCTGATTCTGTCTTCTGCGGCATTAGCTACCCATCCCAGTTTGGTGTCATCTGCAAATTTGATGAGCATCCCCTCAATTCCTTGATCCAAATAATTTATAAAGATGCTGAACAACAACGGGCCCAGGACATCTGTATCAACAGCTGTTAACCACATTATTTTTAACCATAGTTTATCCGTGGGCTGTTGGGCTGCTGAATGGAAAAAAAACAGTGGTGCAATTGGCTTCCGACAAGCACACAGAGCGCGAACAAGACTGAGTGTATGGGGGGGGGGGGTCGTTTAATTTCACTACACACAGGTGGTATAGTTACAATAAAAAATATTATTATTATTATTATTATTATTGTCGCTGTTGATCCTTTTCTGCATTTCATTTTTAAAAACTTTAAAAACAAATTATGGTGGAATGTAGACACATTTTAAAAACAAAACAAAAAACAAAACCCTGTGAAAATGCTTATTTTAAATACAAAAAGGGGTTTGGAAAAATATATTGAATTTGCCATTAGCTCACCATCTCCATCTACTGTCCCATTTGTATAATGCACTTTAAACGTTATATTTACAGCTGTACAGCTGAGTGTTTCTTTCATATCCCACAATAAATTCATTAGCCTATCGGTGCTGCAAGTCTCTTCATTTCATATTACTGCATGGAATTCTTACTGTATTTTTACAGCCGGGGAGAGACATTTCTGGGTTTCTTTTTGCCTCAGGTGTTAAAATAACGATGCCCTTTGACTTGGGAGGCTCACGCTGTTTGCTGTTCTGCCTCAGGCAGCAAAATGTTTTCTGCTGGCTCTGCTTCTTCACCATGGCTTTGCATGCCAACAAGGCAGACATGTGGGCAGGGTATAAATAATAAAATTGTTGTTGTTGTTGTTGTTGCTGCTATTGTTATTATTATTATTATTATGTACTTGGGTGTCCTATCACAGCTGCTGTGGCCTGGGGGAAGCCCAAACAAGCTTCATAAACACCTCCTTGCCACTCACCCCATCCCAGTTAAAGGCTATTACTCTTCAGAAGAAGCCCTCAAATTGTACAGAAGGTAATATTCTTTTGCATAATCCCAACAATATGAAACACTGGGAGCCATTAAGCAGTCAAAATGCAGGCTGGGAACTGTTTGCTCAAAGAGAAAGTGATCTGTCAAATAAGCAGGGTTAAATTAATTTTGCACACTTCCAGGTAAACAGAATGTTTGTAAATTCATTTATTCCTCAGACATAAAAGGCCACGGAGACTTCAGACTCTTTTCAACAGCACATAATCTCATTCCAGGAGCCTCTAGATTCTTACTTTAAATATTCCTCTTAGCAGCTCTTCAGAGCCTGTCCAAATTTGTTAGGTGAACATCTCTTTACTGTTTTCAACAGGATGGAGGGGGTAAATAGCAGCCTCTATATGTGAACGCATCAGGACTGTGGCTGTGGGCCTGGGACAGCTCAGTTGGTAGAGCATGAGACTCTTAAACTCAGGGTTGTGCGTTCGAGACCCACATCGGGGTCCTGCATTCCCGGGGGGTTGGACTAGATGACCCTCATGGTCCCCTCCAACTCTACAATTCTATGATTCTAAGCTTCTCTGAATACACATGTGCAGCATATACATGACCCTAAACCAATACATTGGGCTACAACATTTAATTTAAAACTGGTTAATCGAGATTCAAAATGACCTGAACAGATTGGGGAACGGGGCCCAAACTAACCAAATGAATTTCAAATGTCTCCGACCATAATGCCGTGAGAATGGAGATGAAGTTAACATCTATTGGTTCCTTCCGATGGAGGATGAATGACACCTTGTTTAGAGACCAAGAGGTGATTAAGAAGGCCCAAAAGACATTGAGGGACTATTTTGAGATAAACTTGAATACAGCTGTAGAAAAAAGAGTAATCTGGGACGCAAGTAAAGCTGTTATGAGGGGCTTCCTGATTCAACAGAACTCAATTAAGAAGAAGGCCCAAAACGTAAAGAAAGAAAAAATTCTGGAAAAAATAAAGGAGGGCGAGAAGAAATTGAGAGTGAAGCCCAATTCACAAGAGATTCTGAGGGAAATAAAATTGCACCAAGTGCAATATATGAAATTGATAAATCAAGAAGTGGAATGGAAAATTAAACAAATGAGACAAAAGACTTTTGAATCGGCAAATAAATGTGGGAAATTGCTGGCTTGGCAGTTGAAGAAACGACAAAAACTTAATACTATTACTAATTTGGAAGTGGAAGGGAAAAATATCCAGAATCCAGAAGAAATTAGGAAATGCTTCCAGAGATACTTTAAACAATTATACACACAAGGGCCTCAGAAAGAATTTGAGATAGAGCAATTTTTGAAAACTAATGGATTACAAAAAATTTCCCAGGATAACAAGATACTGTTGAATTATAAAATTACAGAACAGGAGGTTGAAGGTGCCATTCAGAACATGCAGTTGGGAAAATCTCCAGGACCGGACGGTTTAACCTCAAAATATTACAGAACTTTGAAAGACTGGTTAATTCGACCATTAACTGAGGTTTGTAATGAAATTCTAGAGGGGAAAAGAGCGCCAGAGTCGTGGAAAGACGCATTTATTACACTTATACCAAAGGTTGAGACTGAAAAGACACAGCTTAAGAACTACCGGCCCATATCCCTGTTAAATGTGGATTACAAAATTTTTGCTGACATCTTAGCAAAAAGGCTTTAAAAAGTGCTAAAAGGAGTGATTCACAAGGACCAAGCCGGCTTTCTTCCAGATAGACATCTTTCGGACAACACAAGAAACATAATTGATATTCTGGAGAAGCTGCAAGAGGAGATCAATACTAAAGCAGTTTTGATTTTTGTGGATGCAGAGAAAGCCTTTGACAATATTTCTTGGAGTTTTATGAAGAAAAATCTTCAGGGGATGGGGGTAGGCCAAGAGTTTGAAAATGGTATAAATGCAATTTATTCAGAACAAAAGCTAAATTAATAGTTAATAATGTGATAACAGAGGAAATTAAGATAGAGAAAGGGACACGACAAGGCTGCCCAATTTCCCCATTACTTTTTATTTCTGTTCTGGAGGTTTTGTTAAATATGATAAGAAGGGACCATTTGATTAAGGGTATAACGGTCGGAGCGAAACAATATAAACTGAAAGCATTTGCAGATGACCTTGTATTGACATTACAGGAGCCAGAATCTAGTACGAAAAGAGCATTAGAACTGATTCAAGAGTTTGGTCAGGTGGCAGGTTTTAAGCTGAATAAGTTTAAAACTAAAGTACTTGAGAAGAATTTAACACCGATTGAAAAAGAGAGGTTTCAGAATGAGACAGGTTTAACAGTGGTAAAAAAAAGTGAAATATTTGGGGATTCACATGACAGCTAAAAATGGGAATTTATTTAAAGACAATTATGAAAAGTGTTGGTCGGACATTAAAAAGGATTTAGAAATATGGACAAATTTGAAGCTTTCCTTGTTAGGTCGAATTGCTGTCATCAAGATGAATGTATTGCCAAGAATGCTGTTTTTGTTTCAATCGATACAAATAATAGACAAAATGGACTGTTTTAAGAAGTGGCAGAGAGATATTTCTAAGTTTGTCTGGCAGGGCAAGAGGCCCAGGATAAAATTTAAAATATTGACTGATGCTAAAGAAAGAGTGGGGATTTGCCCTGCCAGACTTTAAACTTTATTATGAATCAGCAGCTTTCTGCTGGTTGAAGGATTGGTTACTTCTGGAAAATACTGATGTTCTGGACTTAGAAGGTTTCAATAATGTGTTTGGGTGGCATGCATATTTGTGGTATGACAAGGTTAAAGCTCACAAAATATTTAAAAACCATATTGTCAGGAAAGCATTGTTCAATGTCTGGATAAGATATAAAGACTTATTGGAGAATAAAACCCCAAGGTGGCTATCACCAATGGAGGCAAAGGCCCTAAAAAGTCCAATATGGAGGCCAAGTGGCCAAAATATTGGGAGATCTTGGAACAAGAAGGAGATAAATTCAAATTGCAGAGTTTTGAAAAATTAAAAGATAGAGTGCGAGACTGGTTGCATTACTACCAAATAAGAGAGGTCTATAATTTGGATAGAAAAATTGGCTTCCAGGTGGAAAAATCAAAGTTGGAAACAGAACTGTTAGATCCCAAAACTAAAACACTTTCAAGAATGTATAACTTGCTGCTAAAATGGAATACTCAGGATGAAACGGTAAAATCTGCTATGATTAAATGGGCACAGGATGTTGGACATAACATTATGTTTGCTGACTGGGAACGGTTATGGACCACAGGTACGAAGTTTACAGCATGTAATGCTATAAAAGAGAATATAATGAAAATGGTGTACAGGTGGTACATGACCCCAGTCAAGCTTGCAAAAATCTACCACTCGCCCGATAATAAATGTTGGAAATGTAAGGAAACTGAAGGTACATTCTTTCACCTTTGGTGGACGTGCCCAAAGATCAAGGCCTTCTGGGAAAGGATATATAATGAGTTGAAAAAGGTATTTAAGTATACCTTTCTAAAGAAACCAGAGGCCTTTCTCTTGGGCATTGTTGGCCAATTGGTATTAAAGAAAGACAGAACTTTCTTTATGTATGCAACAGCAGCAGCAAGGATACTCATCGCAAAGTATTGGAAGACACAAGATTTACCCACTCTGGAAGAATGGCAGATGAAGGTAATCGAATATATGGAACTGGCTGAGATGACTGGCAGAATCCGTGACCAGGGAGAAGAGTCGGTGGAAGAAGATTGGAAGAAATTTAAAGACTATCTACAGAAATACTATAAAATTAATGAATGTTAAATTGAGGTCTGACTGAAAATAACTGGTATTGGCAAAAGCCTTGTGATTAAGAGCATGGAATATTTGATTGATAAAGTTGTAATATTTATATATAATAGATTAACTTTTTTGAGTTAAGATAAGAAAGAAGGGTAAGGATTTGCTGAAAGGAGTTCTTAAATGGAAATACAAGCGGGAGATGTGGGAAGTCAAAGAATTAGGTAATGATAAGAAGGTTAAATGAAAGTATAATACTTTTTAAATTTTTCTTTTTCTTTTTCTTTTTCTCTTTTCCTTTTGTGCTATGGATATTGTTATCTCTGTTTGTTTTTTGTTATTGTTATTGTTGTTTTCTGTTTGTCGAATTTTTGTATTTTTACATCTTTTGGAATTTGTTTTTGTAAAACCAATAAATATTATATAAAACAAAACAAAACAAATGAATTTCAAATGTAAGGCAGGCATAATCTGATGCACAAATGTAACATAGGGGACGCCTGGCTTGCCAGTAGTTTGTGTGAAAGGGATCTAGGGGTCTTGGTGGACCACAAACTGAACATGAGTCAACAGGGTGATGCAGAAGCAACAAAAAAAGCTACTGCTATTCTAGGCTGCACCCATAGAAGTCTAGTGTCCCCTAGGGCTTTTTGCAATAAGGAAAGTAACAGGAAAATGCACTGGGAAGTGTGGGATGACAGAAAGATGCGCCAAGTAGCAAAAAAACAAACAAACCCAAAAAGCATACAAAAAATGTATTATATTAGGGAAAATATGCTTTGTAAGAAAAAAAGCGTATATTAGGCAAAATTGCTTATAAAAATATGTATCTTTGCACTATTCTGATGAATTTCCACGAGGACTTTTTAAAATCACAAACTGATGTGGAGCTGCGAAGAAAACTGAGCTTAAGTTTGGGAAAAATGTGAAACTCAGAGAAACACAAACAGACAGATTCCTCCATCTCTATTTCTGAGACAACTTGGCTTGTTGGAGTAGGAGTGCCTTTGATGCCTGAAGTTTGGAGCAGCAAAAACTTTCCTTCCTTGTGATATCAGGGCCATTCCTAAATTAAAATGGTACACACTCATGGCCTGATTACCGTATTTTTTGCACCATAACACTCACTTTTTTCCTCCTAGAAAGTAAGGGGAAATGTCTGTGCGTGTTATGGAGCGAATGCCTACGGGTGGCGGGGAGGATCTGCTGCAGTTGTGAGCAGAGGATCCCCTTCCTTCCCTCCTCCGTGGCTCGCTTTGAAACAGCAAAGCGGGAGAAGAGCCGCTGAGTGGGGAGGAGAGAGGGACAGAGAGCCTGCTTGCTTTAACGGAGCAACGCGGGAGAGTTGGCTCCTTTAAAGCAAGCAGGCTCTCTGTCCCTCTTTCCTCCCCACTCAGCTCGCTAAATAGCATTATTAGCAGCATCCTTCTCCACACACCCCATGCGTGCTCCTTGTCCCTTGAGTGCTGTTCCTTCCCTCCCCACTTAAAACGTGGTTACAAAGCATGGATCCACATGGATCCTCAGGATTTTTGCATTGGGCTACTCCAAACTCACTGTCAGATTACATGTCTGTGGCCACAGCATGAACCACAAAAATCATACATCCACTGTTTCGTTTAGAATATTTTTTTTCTTGTTTTCCTCCTCTAAAAACTACGTGCGTGTTATGGTCTGGTGCGTGTTATAGAGCGAAAAATACGGTAATCCTCTTTTCCAACCCCATGATTAGCACCTG